TAGCATGCAGAAGTGATATTAGTAAACATTAAGTCCTTGGTTTTTTCGACATTAATTTCCATTTGCCATTTGCTGCACTATTCCCCTAACCTGGTAAGATCCTGTTGTAGTTCTGCAACGTCATCTGTGCAAGTTATTTTCCTATAAACAACGCAATCGTCCACGAAAAGACGAATTGATGAACTTATGTTAGATGCAATGTCATTAATGTATACTAAAAAGAGAAGAGGACCCAGCACACTGCCTTGTGGCAAACCAGATGTTACTCGGGTAGGATGAGATATGTAGTTGTTAAGTTTAACTGACTGAGACCTGTTGTTTAGAAATTCTTGTATCCATGCAGTCATTTTCTGGTCGAGGCTGAGGTGACGTATTTTTAACATTAGCCGGTTATGGGGAACACGATCAAAAGCCTTAGAAAAATCTATGAAAAGCGCGTCGATGCAGATGGACATATGAAGAGCTGTGTGCAGGTCTGTCACGAGTTCGAAAAGTTGAGTCTGACATGATAATTTTTCTCGAAAACCATGTTGGATTGGAAGAAGTAAATTGTTACGGTTGAGGTGACGCATGACCTGGGAGTGCATGATGTGCTCTAGTAACTTACACGAAATGGACGTGAGTGAAATCGGCCTATAGTTGTTGGGGTGATTCCTGTTACCAGACTTAAAGATGAGTACCACATTAGCCAATTTCCAGTCATCTGGTATACAACCAGAGTCAAGGGATTGCTGGAAAATGAATGCAAACAACTTAGCTGAATGTTGACAGGTTAATTTAAGTAGTTTGGCGCTGATGACATCGGGGCCGGGACTGGTTTTAAGGGGAAGTCGACTGATAACGCTAGCTACACCGTGCTCTGTTATTAGGATTGCTGGAAAAGGGTATTCAATGGGCAGTTGTGACAGTGAAAGAGAATCATTCAGTGGAAGTTCGTCAGTGATGAACGTCAGTGATGCATGGATCGTCAGTGATGCATGGATGAACGCACGTATGGTCGCTCGGACGGACGGAAGCAAGAACGAATGGACGAACGGAAGCATGGACGGGCTGATGGACGCTTCGCCCTACTCATCATCATTCATTTCGTGGATATGCTGTAATTTTTTATTAAATCAATATGATAATTAAAGTTAAAAAACAATCGAGTTCTACACATAGAAATGTGCATTTGTCAGACGGAAATATTTCGTAGTTATTAACATACACCGGGAGGCCGTTATCTCGCTTTTGCAACCGAGAACTTAAAATAACAAACTTTGGCTTATAAGGATTAATAACAAGCTTGTTGTAAAGGCAAGAATTAATGACGCTCTGGAGATCACTATTTAGCTGGGAGGTTAGGGCAGGAATGGAGTCATGAGCTGTAAATATGGTGGCACCGTCTGCGTGAAGCAAGGATTGTTTGTGGGTGATAAACATTCTGTCAGGTCATTTATTTAAATAATGAATAGAACAGGACCTAGTATTGATCCTTGTGGAACCTCTGCATTGGTAGTTTTGGAGCCTGAAAGCACGCCTCAAATAAATACAACTTGTTTATGAATCTGTAAATAACTAGAAGTGAATTCTTGTGGCGGACCAGTTATACTAGAAGACGAAAGCTCGTTCAAGAGTGTAACGTGATCGAAAAAAAACAAAGGCTTGACTAAAATGAACAAACACTGATTCATGGATTTAGGCGTGATCAATGATGTTTTTTGATAATTTTAGGTGGAGAAACTAGTGCTAGCTTGGTGCTAGTTGCTCCCCGATGATCCGTAAAACCGTAAATTCTCGTGGCGAACCAGTTATACCATAAGAAAAGAGCTCGTTCAAAAGAGTAACGTGATCGCCAGAATCAAAGGTTTGACTAAAATCAACAAAGACTGATCCACGGATTTAGGCGTCATCAATGGTGTTTCTGATATTTTTAGGTGAAACAACTAGTGCTAGCTTGGTGCTAGTTGCTCCCTGATGATCCATAAAACCATATACAATCATAGTGTGATGATAGAAGCTTGATTTTCAGACAATGTCGTAATGAAATTCTGTGTGCCAGCGTGCGACAGCATACTAGACAGTCATAGTTTAGCGTTAACACGATAGTGGCGGTCACGGAACTAGCGTTACCGTGTCGCGAACGTTCGATGCTTACAGCACCTTTTAGTGTAGCTAAATATTGTGTACGTGCCGAAACTGTGACTATGGCGCCATCTATCGGAACGATATAATGCGCCGTAATCACAACTAAAAGGTCAGGCGGTGAAAAACGTATGAGGAAAGTAAAGAGAGAATGCTTGCCTGAATTATGACATACAGCAGATATAAAACTTTTGTAGTGATAATAAACGTAAATAAGTATGAAGCGCGCAACAAAAGTAAAACAAAATATAGGTTGCAGATGTGTTTACACTGATCTTCTACTCATGGGCTAGGAACGCCCAAAATTGGAAGATATCTGAAGAACTTCGCAAAGTTATCCATAATACCCGGTTGTGGAAGCTGTCAGACGGAGAGCGAACCTATTTCAAACCCTGATCTGCAGCGAAAGAACTGAACAATTCAACAGCAAAGTAAAGTTCAGTTCTAATCGGGCGTTCCAAACAGCTACCATGTTTTACGTACCATACCTAAACCATGCGAGCATGGTAACGCGACATCTGAAAAATTTCGCGCACTCTTTAAAAAAAAGGTAGTAGCACTTGCTACGTTTGGGGTAGTAATGGTTTGTCACATATTTTACAACCCTGCTAGTATATGTGCAGTTAGTAACGGTGAAGTCGGTAGCAGTTACTACCTTTGCTGTTACTAGCAGCATTTAGTTACGGTTACTATTCTAGCCATTTGCAACCATAGATACTAACTTTAATGGTTTTAGAGAAAAAGTAGTAACTAATAACATTGTGTCCATTTGGCCATATCACTTTTCCATTGCTAGTACTGGTCAGTTAATGACTCAATACTAAAGAACTTAGGGTAATCTTGGGTAGCGTGTCAAGAACGCATAGGCCTAACGAGTTTACTACGCTACAATAACATGAAAGTGGCTACTGGAGAATACATAGCCCCTATTGGGCAGATGTATGTCTAGTACAAGTGAGTGCTTGTGTTTCAGGATGAATAATTAAAAAGGTCAGCCTAGAGCCCTCTGTTATACTACCTAGAGCCCTCTAATATACTACCAGCATGAGAATTTTAATCAGCCGTACTTATCAAAAAATGAATTGTCATACCTCTTTATTATAAAGGGTCGCAAGAAAGCCTATACAGCAGCCCAAACAAAGTATCCAACTTGTTAAGATAGGCTTAGAGCATTTTATTGTTTCACAATGCTAATATATCAGGGATTAATAATTGCTTAGTGGGTTTTACGTGCCAATGCCACGATAATAATGTTAGATACGTCGTATAGTGAGGGACTCTGGAATAATTTTATCATTTGGTTGATTCGCCTGTCTTGCTGGTTTGTTATAGTTTGTGACGTTTGTTGTAATTGTCTATCGCAGCCCATGTAGCACTTCCTACGTTTTGACAAGTGCAGCATCACGCTTTCGTAATTCGGTTGCGTCATTTAAAGAAAACGTTTTTTTTCTCATCTATAGATATCGTCCACGTCATTGTTCCGTTTAAATATGATACTTCGGTATGATTCTTCCTAAACATTATTACAATATTGTATTACCTGTTTTAGGTTACTAAGATTGGAGAATCATTGGCTGAAAGTAAAAAAGTAGTAACTGGACCAGAAAGTAGGTAACAGCAGCAGTTACTACCTATTGTATTTCAGTTACTAACTCTCTAGTAACGTAGGTGGTTAACAGATGAGGAAAGGTTAGTAATGCTTCAAGAAAGGTAGTAAGCACTGCGGTTATTATCTCTTTTGCTAGCAGTCGCTACCTCTTTACTGCCATTTTTTAAGGCTGTACGTACTGTAAATGCTAACGATCTCTCAGCGTATTGCACATTCACACTGCGATTCCACTGTTCCGCGAAACATGATCCTTTGCTGAGCCCACCGTCCTATAACTCTCTGTTGATAGAATAGCGGTAAAGGGCGAATTTCGAAGAATTTCCAGGTGTGAGAATCGGTGCTAAGGCGCGTTCACACTTGGCCTCGAAAAGAGCCAAAACAGCAAACATTACCGCGAATCCACTCGCTTCGCCACAAAGCGGCCAGAGTACCACGCCGTTAGGCTAGAAAAAACCATTCCAAGACATGAAATTTGTGGTTTGACGTTGAAAAATAGCCATAATTGGCTTATGCTGTGGCCTTACAAGACGATTGGATCATTGTGGCTTGGTATCTCCCGCCAGATATAGGTACAATAACTTGTCGTAAGTAATCCAGTGGGCAAGCAGAAAATAGTCTCATGAATGGTACCGCTAACGCTATGGTATTTTTGATTTGTTTGACTTTCAGTGAAACAGTTAGCCGCAACTATGCTGCAGCATTCGAGCGAGGCTGTGCACTACAAACAAGCAAATATCTACCTCAATGAAAAATTGTGTAACTTACTCATTTTAGCCTTTTTTTATATGCGAGTTGTGAACTTGGAATTCTCTTGTGGAGGATCTTTGTCACGTAAACAAAAGCTGGATCTTTACTTTGGGCAACGATATTAAAAGCAGAACGCAGTCTTACGTTCGCATACAAGAACGCAAAGACGCTTGTGCATTTTAATGACTAATAATGACTATAAAGCCCGCAAATGAATTATCCAGTAACGGCTGTAAGAGACCGAAGTTTCACACCTATCTCTTCAGTATAGGTTTTGTGCTGTTGTCCGTCGTACCAGTAGCAGCATGCGCATCTGATTTGTCTCGACATTTTGTACCGTATTGAATGCGCTGCGTTGTAGACTTTAATCATGAAAACCAAACACTGCTTGTCGGCCTTCGTGTTGTTTGAAGCTGTTAAATACTTGTTACACGTTACGGTTTTTCGAAGAGTACTTTCGCACACGCAGAAAAAAATGAACGCATTATTCATTTTTTAAACGTCAAATATTTATTTAACGTTGATTGTTTTCTTTTCTATAGACATGGAAAGTATATCTGAATAAATGCTATCCACGCCTTCACAAAGCACGCTGTTTTGAATTGTCAAACTTTTATTTCTATGCTAGTGCTTGCTTTCTTATTAGGAATCTAAGATACTTGCTCGTATTGGATTCTTGATTATGTTTGAGCACTTAACGTCTAAACTTCAGGCTGTGGTGCACCTCAAGCACAACAACTGAGCAAGTTTAGATCTACCAAACCGAAGCTTGCACCAAGCGGGATCATGTTGGTATCCTTATAAAAGAAGAGTTGCTAGCACTTCTAATAATGGAATTCAAAGCCCTGTGTGCTGCTGTCATAGCCTTGAAGTACAATCGCCTTCTGGAGCGGAAAAGTGCCGTTGCCGCAGTTTCCTTGCCAGTCGTCAGAGTTCAAGCTGGAGGTCATTGTGCCTCCGTATCCATTGTCCATAATCCATTTGGCCTGTTGAAAAAGAATGCGAAAGGAGCTTCCATTTAATGTACGCTTCAGCCTTACCTCAGCAGTCATGTAACTTCCATGTACGACGCCGTTCACAACAACTCGTGCTATTTGTATTGCGCCAGTAAAACAATCGAACTAAGTGTTTTTTTAGCAATAAACACTTAAAACGTAAAGCGGGTGCTCGGCGGTCATATGCTGTCGAGCGCTCTGATCGTCGTTCGACATCGTCGCTTGGCGTAAGGCAGGCAAAACTATAGAGAGCATAGCTATCGGCGCTTGCTCCAAGCCGTGTTCTTCCTCTACTTATCCGAGTGCATTCATTATGATAAGTGTGGAACACCTAATAACCACTTATGAAAATAGAAAAAAAAACAAGAAAGCATGAAATATAAAGAAAGAGAAGGGGGGGATATGATGAAAGTAGAAAGAATACAAAAATAAAGAAATTCGTAAATATATAGTAAGTAACGTTTAGAAATAAATAAAGGAAAGCAGAAAATGTGAAATATACAGAACAAGAGAAGAAAAGCTGAAAAAAAAATGGCCCGAACCTAGATGTTACACTGTAAATATCGTCGAAAGACGATAGCCTTGCACCTAGGAGAGAGTGAACAAAACGTTTCTTTGATGTTATGCGCAAAAAAATCGGTGAATTTATTCTGCAGGCACTGCTTTAGAGTGCCTCGATCGTGTGGCGGAGGCGAACGAGCGCATTGAGGCACGTTAAAGACAAGCGCCATCTGGCAGTTATCTTCGAAAACGAAGGCATGCAGCCTGCGGTGAAAGATGCGCGCCAGTCTCGGAAGAGATAATGTGTAGAACGCCAAGCGACGGGCAGGTGCCACCAGCGTGACGTCGTAGCAAGGCGTTGTAAACACCTTTTCGAGCATCGCGTTGCACTGTCAGCGCAGCACGATTAAACGCTACATTTCTTAGAGTTACTTGTTTGTGCCTTTTCTAATATAAAAGCAGACATAGAAAACATTGAAGCGTTGTTGTGACACATCAGACAGGCGCAATCATTGCTTTTTAATTGACAATCGCACTACTAAGAATGCTAAACCTTGAGCGATATTGGTGGGTTCAGCGGATGGGGTTGGCCGTTTGGGGCGGTTTGAGGTATCGTTTGGGTGTACAAACAAACAAACAAACAAACAAACAAACAACAGACAGACAGACAGAGAGACAGACAGACAGATAGACAGACAGACCAAAATTTTCCGTCGAAGGCCCACAAGAAAGACTATCGTCTTTAAAAACTGATGAAAAAAATCGCAGCGGCTTGGTCCAAGATATTGTAGTGCGAGCAGCGGACGGATCGATGAACGAACCACGGATGAACGAACCACCCACACATCGACGGACGAATACGGATGAATGAATAGGCATACTACCTACGGATGGACATAAGAACGGATTAGAGAGCGAGTGATCTCACCTGAATCATGTGCGAGTGCAGTGCAGCGAAACAACTCCCCAGTAGCTTCGAGGCGTTCTCCAGTGCGCGAGCTGTGTACCGTGTGACATGAATGCTCCTCGCACTTGCACTGAACTACTCATCCTATCCTGAACCTGAACTTGGCAACGTTTAACGCTAGAACCTTATCTAGTGAGGGAAGTCTAGCTGTACTATTCGAGGAGCTAGAGGGTGTTAAATGGGATATAATAGGGCTCAGTGAGGTTAGGAGGACAGATGAGGCCTATACGGTGCTACAGAATGGGCACGTCCTTTGCTACAGGGGCTTGGCAGACAGAAGAGAACTGGGAGTGGGGTTCCTAATTCACAGAAACATAGCTGGCAACATAGAAGAATACTATAGCATTAATGAAAGGGTGGTAGGTATCGTAATTAAACTGAATAAAAGATACAAAATGAAGGTAGTACAGGCTTACGCGCCTACATCCAGCCATGATGACGCTTCAGTTGAAAGCTTCTATGAAGACGTGGAATCGGCAATGAGTAAGGTAAAAACACAGTATACTATAGTGATGGGCGACTTTAATGCAAAGGTAGGGAAGAAGCAGGCTGGAGACCAGGCAGTAGGAGATTATGGCATCGGTACTAGAAACGCCAGAGAAGAGCTACTAGTAGAATTCGCAGAACGCAATAATTTACGGATTTTGAATACCTTCTACCGAAAACGAGAAAACCGCAAGTGGACATGGAGGAGCCCTAATGGCGAAATAAGAACGAAATAGACTTTATAATGAGTGCGCACCCTGGAATCGTGCAGGATGTGGAAGTGATTGGCAAGGTACGATGCAGTGACCATAGAATGGTACGGTCTCGAATTCGCCTAGACTTGAAGAAGGAACGACAGAAACTGATACGCAAGAAGCCAATCAATCAGCTAGCACTGAGAGGGAAAGTACAGGAATTCAGAGGTTCGCTGCAGAACAGGTACTCGGCTCTTAGTGAGGAAACCAACCTTAGCGTAGATACAATGAATGATAATCTGACGAGTATCATTACGGAGTGTGCAGTGGAAGTTCGAGGCAGGGTAATTAGACAGGACACTGGCAAGCTTTCCCAGGAAACGAAGAACCTAATTAAGAAGCGTCAAACCATGAAAGTGTCAAGTACAACAGACAAAATAGAACTGGCAGAGCTTTCGAAGTTGATTAATAGACGTAAGGTATGCGATGTAAGAAGGTATAACATGGAGATAATTAAACACGCTCTGAAAAACGGAGGAAGTGTCAAAGCATTGAAGAGGAAACTTGGGATAGGCAAAAGTCGGATGTATGCACTAAGGGACAAAGAAGGCAAAATAACTACCAATATGGATAGGATAGTTAAAATAGCGGAGGAGTTTTACAGAGATCTGTACAGTAGCCGAGAAAACCACGACCTTAATACTATAAGAACTAGCAGTAACCCAGATGACACCCAACCAGAAATGATAGAAGAAGTCAGAAAAGCTTTGGAGAGCACGCAAAGAGGCAAACCAGCCAGTCAGGATCGAGTAACATAAGATTTCCTGAAAGATGGAGGACAGATTGCGTTAGAAAATTAGCCACCCTGTTTACGAGGTGTCTCCTGACGGGAAGAGTACCAGAGTCTTGGAAGAACGCTAACATCATCTTAATACATAAGAAAGGAGATGACAAGGACTTGAAGAATTACCGGCCGATCAGCTTGCTCTCTGTAGTATACAAGCTATTTACAAAGGTAGTTGCTAACAGAGTAAAGAAAACATTAGAATTCAATCAACCAAAGGAACAAGCAGGATTTCGAACAGGCTACTCAACAATTGACCACATTCATACTATCAATCAGGTAATAGAGAAATGCTCAGAGTATAACCAATTACTATACATAGCCTTCATAGATTACGAGAAGGCGTTTGATTCAGTAGAAATATCAGCCGTCATGCAAACACTGCGGAATCAGGGCGTAGATGAAGTATATATAAACATTCTGGAAGAAATCTACAGGGGATCAACTGCTACCTTAGTGCTTCATAAAGAAAGCAACAGAATACCAATCAAGAAGGGTGTAAGGCAGGGGGGCACAATTTCCCCAATGCTATTTACCGCGTGCTTACAGGAGGTTTTCAGAAGCCTAGAATGGGAACAGTTAGGGATAAGAGTCAATGGAGAATACCTTAGTAACCTGCGCTTCGCCGATGACATTGCATTGCTGAGCAACTCGGGGGACGAATTGCAACTCATGATTATGGAGTTAGACAAGGAGAGCAGAAAGGTGGGTCTTAAAATTAATCTGCAGAAAACGAAAGTAATGTACAACAACCTCGGCAAGGAGCAGCGCTTCGAGATAGGTAATAGTGCACTTGAAGTTGTAAAAGACTATGTCTACTTAGGGCAGGTAATAACCGCAGAGCCGAACCACGAGATTGAAGTAACTAGAAGAATAAGAATGGGGTGGAGCACATTCGGCAAGCACTCTCAAATTATGACAGGTAGATTGCCACTATCCCTCAAGAGGAAGGTATATAACAGCTGTATCTTGCCGGTACTTAGCTACGGAGCAGAAACCTGGAGACTTACAAAGAGGGTTCAGCTTAAATTGAGGACGACGCAGCGAGCAATGGAAAGAAAAATGGTAGGTGTAACCTTAATAGACAAGAAGAGAGCAGAGTGGATTAGGGAACAAACGGGGGTTAAGGATATCATGGCTGGAATCAAGAAGAAGAAATGGACATGGGCAGGGCATGTAGCGCGTAGACAGGATAACCGCTGGTCATTAAGGGTAACTGACTGGATTCCCAGAGAAGGGAAGCGGGTTAGGGGGAGACAGAAGGTTAGGTGGGCAGATGAGATTAAGAAGTTTGCGGGTATAAATTGGCAGCAGCAAGCACAGGACCGGGTTAACTGGCGGAACATGGGAGAGGCCTTTGTCCTGCAGTGGACGTAGTCAGGCTGATGATGATGATGATGATGATGACTCATCCTAAGCCAAGCGAAATAGCTCAACTTCGGTCAGTGTACCTTACGCTACAAATATCATGAAGGTTGACAAGCTCCGCTTTTTCTTTAGGCTGGTCATCCCTAACGCGATGCTGCCTTAATTTATTGTTTGGCATTACGGACGCAAGAACATTAAATATCACAAAACATCACAAGCTGTTCATAACTAGTCATTTTGCCTAATATGCGGAGAAAAGAGGTGTTTCATACATTTTCCTTAACAAAACAGAGAAATTATGTTAAAATCAACGCAACAATCACTCGATCAAGAAGCAACCGAATCATTCCCGTAACGCCGGGCTGTTTACAAACTTGGCTAGGGCCCTGTAAACCTCTTAAAACGGTCCTGTGAAGTAGCATTGAAATGAGTTTACTAAATCTGCCTATTTGCCAAAAAAATTCACTGCCCCAAAGTTTTCAGTATATGTCCAGTACAGCGGTGGTACGGATGTTTCTTGCAAGCTGCAACAGCGTGCTCTCTCTCTCTCTTTTTTTTGTCCTGATGAAACCGCTGCAAGCTATGCAGGGAAGAAGGGAGAGTGGAGGAAAACGTGGCATGCGTGCCTCTTCACCTTTTGTATTTTGTCTGTCTCTCTGTCTCTCTGTGTGTGTGTGTGTGTGTGTGTGTCTGTGTGTGTGTGTGCGTGTGTGTTTGTGTGTAAGCGCGGGTGTTTTAAATGTGAAGCAATCCTTAGTAAATTTCGGCCACTTTGACCGTATCTATCTATCTATCTATCTATCTATCTATCTATCCGCATACGACATTTAGCTCTTCTGACTGTTTCGAAAATTGGTACGGCAGAACATTACTGTATGACGAGCCCAAGTGACTAGTCATAACATGAAAATCATAATATGGTTCTTGTGAATGTCATGATTTGTATTTAGTCGCCTTGCTGCTCTTGTGGTGGTTTTGTTGACATGACATTTTGCAAAACTGGTACGGTATGACGTAAATGGATGGCGAACATAAGTGACAGACCATAACGTAGAAACTATGACACGCATGTCATGCAACACATGACTACATTATACGCTTATAAGGCGCTCACAGCCATTTCGTTACCTCTGAATATATGAAATTAGGTGTTACGTGATGTGAATGGATGACGAAGGTATACGACTGGTGCAAACGTAGAAAAGTTATGACAAGCAGTGTCATGTAAAACATGACTACATGTTTTGTTCATTGAAAACTCGCAGCCGTTTTGCTAGCTCCACATGTACCAAATTTGGTATCACGCGACGTCAATAGACGACAAAAGTAAATGGACCCGGCTAAACATTACAATCATGACATGCATGTCATGCTAAACATGAATGCCTGCTACGCTCGTAACGTGCTCGCGGCTGTCTCGCTAGCTTCAAATATACCGAATTCGTATTAGGTAACGTGAATAGACGACGAACGTGTATATATATTCTCCTTTTTTTTTCTTCTTCCCTTGCCTACGGTTTTTTTATACAAGCCTGTTTTCTTCATATTATTGTGCCACATATCGCTTTTGTGTTGTACTCTTTTATAATTAGTTGGTGTTTCCATTGTATAACAATTTGTGTTATGTTGTATTCAACCATTGTATGTGCCCTTCTGTTATGATCTTTTTGGAATTGGCAGTATTTACAAATAAAATAAATAAATATGACTAGTGAAAACATCATAATCTTGACATGGAAGTCATGTACGACATAACTTGCGCCCGTCTCGTAACGTTGTGCTGATTTTAGATGACATATCAACCTTCCTTATTCGTGCTTACCATATCATCGATTCTCGCTGTACGTGGGATCTGGCAATTTTTATTGCGTGGCTTTTCAGCATAATTGCGCGCGTGGACAGCTTGCGGCCTTTGATGCCGACCCCACTAGGCCTTACTGAAGAGTGAGCACGCCATGCTCAAATCGGCCATTGGCGGATACTAGGCCTCAGACGTAGAGACTTTGAGGCTGTAGCGTCAATTATCCAGTGCTTAGAAATCAATTTTAGAGTTGAAGTCCTTAGGGTGCTGTTTGGGTGCACGTTAAAAACGCCAGGTGGGCAAAGTTTCCGGAACCCTCCACTACGGCGTCTCTCATAATTATGAGGTGGTTTAGGGACGTTAAGCACCACATATCAATCAATCCCACTACACCCCATCACTGATCCACCCCTTCAGCAACAATAAGGCCAATACTGTTGAGAAGTATCCAATATGAAATGCAAGATGGTCGTGTACTTGTATTCAGGTGCGTGTTGAAGAACCATAGATTTTCCCACTGTGTCCGTCCCTTGTTACTACGTGACCGCCTATAGTTCCACCTTTTCAAACTGCCAAGTACTTCGTCATCGCAAGCATCCCGCTACGACCCATGACGGATCCATCACTTACTTCACCGACCATAAAGCCGTTCCAATGAAGGGAGAACGGAAGCGACGTATAGCTACCACTTTCCAATAATAAAATTTCTCGTAGAAATATATGCACTGCTTGTCACTTCTTTGATGATGTAGTGGGGGATATTCGCGTGTGGTTCACAGTTTAGCGATGAAACTCTCCAGTGCTTCACCCCACTCATCATAAATCACTCTGTGTATATGCTGTGATTTTTTAGCTTACTTTAAGAATTGATTCTGCAATCAAGGCTAGGAGCTTCGCTATAATATTTCGCAGATGTGTTATCAAGAACCTAAACTACCAATCAGTGGCTTTTTGTGGCCATGACCAAAAAGTGTTGCAAGATTCCTTTAAAGGGGCCGAGAGGTAAGCAGGAAGTGCTATTAGATCGTAGTAGAAATTAAATTAGCAAGAGATATATTGACATAATCGAGCATTTGTTTCACGTTGTGACCAAGACTAGTATATTTAAATTATGCTGCGCGGAAGGCACAGCACTTTCACAACAAAAGCTAAAAGAGCGGCTTTTCAGAGCCTTCCCAATCACTCATTGGGTAACTACTGCAAGCACGCTTGCTCGAAACCCACTAGGGCATTAATATTAAAATTTTTTTGGATTGTAGCCCGGCATTATCTATGCAATTTATTGTAATTCGTTTGAAAAGCGTGGTATCCACTGGACACTTGCAAGGAATGTTGCGCCAGTTGTTCATGCAGTGGCTGACGATAATGAAAAATTACCGCTTAAGTGGGTATGTGCCAGAGTTAATAGGGGAACAAGAACAAGCTTTTGTAATAACGCGATTTATTTCCCTACATCAAGCCTACGCAGGGCAAGTTTGCGAAAGAGTCACAAGCACCGACGTAGCTCATTGGTAGACCACTGGGCGCCAGCCCAGTGGACCTGGGCTTGAGCCCCACTGCGTCATTAGTACTAGGTTTTTTTTTCTAATTTAGCGCGATGTTATTATGGAAACCGTCGGCGACAGACAACTGCGCGTGACCCGAGTTGTGACCTCATAAGAGCTTTCACTGAAAAATTGCTTTGTGGGATAGCCTAGCAGAAGAGCGTTAAAGATGGGTCATGGAATATGAAGTCGTTCACTATGCTGAACGTGGTCGCGTAGTCTGATGCTCTAATGCGTGCCAGTCACTGAATTTAGACTATGTCTAGTATTATCCAGCCCCACCGAATTCTGCACTGCTTACGACTTGTAATGACCAGCTTGGTGAAAAGCGGCGCTGCCGTATAGCGGCCGCCAGTGGACCAAGACGAGCTGTGGCGTATGCGCGCGGTGTGCGTGCATCCGGAGTCAACCACCGCGCTCGTACACGAACCACCCACGCGCTCGCTGTTTGCAACATGTGTGCATACGAGTTCATATTCGTGGCAGATAGAAAAACTTTGAATACAAATGCTTCGTGGCGTTTCCCTAATTACGATTCTCGGACCATACTCAATGACCGATAGGATTTCCTTTGCACTAAAAAAAGGGCATCTAAAGTATTCGTTTTTAGCCTTTGAATTATTCTACTCAGCTGAACAAAACTATGTCGAAATGTTCACAATTCACATATATATAAGTCGGTATCAAAAAGTGAAATAGTTTTTTGAAAGGTATACTTGGCAAACAGTTTTAATTTAGTCTTTCTTGTTTCAGAATGCGGCTTCACCACGGGCTGGTCATGTGCATGCATAATACAAAGGAAGTACAGCAAGCTTTTAACCACTTATTGGGCTTACTAGGTCACCTCCTCAGATGTGACACCTGATAAAGCGATACGGTGAACGACAATGCCAGCTTGACTGAGTGGGGTAACGAGACAATTTCTTGCGCCTACCTGACTGAATACGAATTGCCTCATGTATTGATGCATGTGTAAAAATTAACCTCGAAGTTGTGGCCTGATGATGTACTAAGTTATATGGAAACGTTTTTAAGTTTCCGAAATGTGGTTTTCATATTTTGTGTTTTGCCATGTTCATTTTATACAACAAAAACAGTTCCAGGATAATGGTAAATACTTTCTGAGAATAGTCAAAGGTATAGAAAGAACACGAAGCAAACATATTATGTCCATTAAAACACATTTAGAGGTGCTACTTTCAAATCATCTGAGGCGTGCATGCTAAGGTATTGATTGCAAACGGTATTGTCACTGACATAGAGTACTTGAAACATTAGTCGCTATAGCATGCACCTAATCGTCGCCTTGTCGCAACTATGACGTCGAGTGCCGGTGGTGCAGATGGTGAAACTTTCGTCGTCAGAGACAATTTTTACTTAAGAGAACAACTGGAAAATTTAGCCCTCTGAAAACATGTTCATATAATGAGTAATAAAGTAGAGTCCATAAATGAACTCTGATCGCCACAGGCTTGATGTTCTCCCGTTGTTTTTATCATTTGCAGCCCTGCCGAATGAGTAGATGGATCAGAATGCATACTTTTCTTTCAGCTTAACTAGCTTTCGCAAGTGTGTTCTCGTGCATTGGCTTTTTGTTCATGAATGTGTGCTCAATGAAGAAATAAACGTGAAGCACAACCATGCAGAAAAATTTTCAAAGGACACGACTCAGAGAGAAGGCGTATGCTACCGTATAGCAAGATACTAGCCTTGAGTGCGACGCTCTCCTGGTCATCGTAGCTCACCCACAACTTTTTTTTGTGGAGATACGGGACCTTTGATTCGGCATCATACTCTCTCCGTGCGCCAGCCTTTAGTAGTGCGCACACCTGGAAGTAAATTTGATTGCGTTGAGTGCATCGTCAGTCACAGAACACCACGCAATAGTAAAAGGGGGTACTGTTCGCACACATCCTTTACCCCCAGCAGTGCATTATTGTACTTTTCAAAACAGGAAGCTATGAACAAATCATTATAACGTTCTTCAAAAGGAGTCAAACACACCAAGCAAATCCTTGACGGCAAGAAAGCAGCCAATGAAAAGAAACTGAGCTGTTGCTGGGACAACCTAAATATAATTATATATGTATCAACTAAATATGAACTCAACCACATGCAGCCCGTTAACGTAGCCGACTTTCATTTACAAGTTTGCATCACAATGCACGTAATTATATTTTTTCGTAATAAATTTGTTGAAGGATATTATAATATGCATATGTATATTGATGGCTTCATTTTTTTGTGTGTGCTCTACTTTAGCAATGCCTAGCTCCGTTTCAAAGCGGCTCTTGAGCGCCCGCTCTGCCGGTTTGGCAGAGTCATTAAGCTTGTTGTTGCAAACCATGGTATGACGAAGAAAACAGTTTACCAACACAAAATATTATGATAAAAAGCGAACGAGGATTGCAGCTCAGAGTGACAATTAGGAGAATGACACAAGAAAGCCTTAGGAAGCACCGATTGAAGCAAGAATGCACAGGGTAAAAGTACTGTTCGCGGAAGCAGCACAACATGAACGAGAGAGGCATCGCCACAGCCGATAAATACATTCAAGTTTGGGTCGAATCATTTGTCTCACCTATCAATAAAAAACATAGATGCACTCTAATATACTGTTACTGAGCAGGATAATTGTGTATGCCTTTTTCTTTATGTTTGTGTCTCTTTTTCAGCGAATGCTTTTTCCTCGTTGTGGTATAAGTTAGTATTCCATGTCACCAATACAGCCAGTGACCAGCCAAGGCGTTTTTTCGGGGAAAGGGTACTTGTTAAACGAATTTAGAAAAGCCTATTTTCATTTTTTATTGTTGGCAAAACATCAGGGACCCCCCCCTCCTTCCTCTCCTTTTCTTTCAGATTGCAGGCCTGCTCTATAGGATAATATCTTGTAGTCCTATACATTTTTTGCACTGATATTATTTATGAGGTTGTACCATACACACATTCTAGCTTTTTTTTTATAATAAGCGAACAAAACGTCTACGCCACGGCTTATCACTGTAGGTATATTGGCACTTGTACTATATTAGCTGTTCTTTTTAGAACGGTTGAGCGCCTCGGGAAACCCCTATTTTTAATAGTGGTTTTCGGCAAAATATCCTGCTTTATGCAAACTTCGAAAAGGCGGCAGCCCCTCACCCCACTTTTTTGTGATTACAGGCCCCTCGCGTCTTTCTGACTATAGGTGTTCTTTTTTGTATAGCAAATGCCCGTCTGTGCATTCCATAAACAGTGGCAGTGTGCCGAACTTCGAAAGGAAGAACAGTCACAACTCCGTATTAAATGTCCACCATCGTCATCCCGCTTCTACGCTTCATGCTTGATGGCATCAAACCTGCTCTGACTAAACATTTTATCGACAGTTGTACTGCACCTGTATATATATATAATCATAAGGGTGTACCATAGCCGCATTCTAACATTTATAGTAAGTGAACAAAACACTTACGCCACCACATATCACTGTGAGTATATTGACACTTCTTGGTATAAAAGCTGTTCTTGTAGCTCTATCTTCGCGCCTGTAATTTTCTGTTCAATCGGTACGCTACTTCAGCCAATGCCAAGGAAGACTTTTGCACCTAGTAAGAGCAAAACCCCTCATTACCTCATCAAATTAAATTAAAAACGGAAACAGGATGGACACAGGCTGAAGGCAACACAATTAGCAGATCCCAAAGCTGGCTTCACTTGTAGGGGGCGCTACATGAGTGCCAAAAAAGAAAGAAAAGCAACGCTCACCTCTGCAAAAGACAAAAAGCCGTTGCCATGCTTGCCGTGTCTAGTGGCCAAAGAACCAACCTTCCACTGCGAGGGGTTCACGAGTACCCAGGAAAGACCGAATGTGGGTATTCCGACCATGATTTTTGATTTTGGAATGCCCAGTTGGGCCCACAAGGTGGCGCTAGAAGCCTGTGAAGAAAAAACACGTGTCAACGAAACTGAGAGTACAAGAAAGCTTTCACCTCACTCTTTCATGAAGGCATTGAGTGCATCGTAACGTGAAACTTGCATGCAAATGCACAAAAAACAACGAGTACTCATCAACCGCTGCATACAAATACACATAGGTGCAATCTGAAGCCTGTCATCACATTTACAAAACATCGAGAATATTGCTGAGCAAGGAGAGTTACATGTCAGCCAGCTTATCCTCGTGGCAGCATCAAAGGAATTTGGCATTTTTTTTCATGTAAAAAAAATTGTTCTATTTACAACCTTCTCAATATCACTAATTCATATATTGAAGAATTAAGCTGCATACTAATGCCACCTAGTAGTGGGCTATGACTTAACTCACTTCCTTTTCTTAGCTCTCCTAATACGAAGCATATCTTAGCGAACTTCGGTGACTTTGACGGTATCTATCTATCTATCTATCTATCTATCTATCTATCTATCTATCTATCTATCTATCTATCTATCTATCTATCTATCTGCCTACGACTTTTCGCTCTCCTGGCCGTTTAGATAATGGTATGAATAGCAGAGTTGGCATGGCATAGCATGACTGTATTTCGAACATAAGTGACTAGCCATAATAGAAAAATCATGACACGCATGTCCTGAATGTCATGATTATTATTTATGCTCTTGCTTCTCTTGTGATGAATTTGTTCACATGACATGTTGTAAAACTGGTATGATATGACATGACTGCATGGCTATCACAAGCGACAGACCGTAACATGAAGATCATGACATGCGTTCCGTGTAACAACATGTCTACATGCTACGTTCATGATGCGCTCGCGGCCGTTACGCTAGCATTGCATATACCAAATTTGGTATTAAAGAACGCGAATAGATGACGAAGGTATGTGACTGTTGCAAACATGATAATCATGAAATGCGTGCCATGTCACAACATGACTACATGCTGTGCTCATGATGCGCTTGCAGTCATTTTGCTAGCTTCACCTAAACTAAATTAGTATTACGTGACGTGAATGAATGATAAATGTAAATGACAAGACCAAGCATAATCATGATATGCGTGTGATGTAAAACATGAGTACATGCTTCGCTGATAGCGCGCTCACGGCCGTTTCGCTAGCTCCACGTATACGAAGTTCGGTATCAGGTGACATGAATAGATGACGAATGTAAATGACGCGTCCAAACATGGTAATCATGCCATGAAAGTCATCTGTGGCATACTTTGCCTCCGCTTTGTAGCGTTGTGCTGATTTCGAAGTCATCTATGATCGAACCTACCTCATTTTTTCTTCGCGCATCATCGATTCCCTCTGTACGTGGGATCTACCATTTTTTTCGTAACTTGCCAAAATGAGCACTTTTCTCTGTAGCTGCAATGTACTGCACGACACGACGCGAATAGACAAAAAAAAGGCTACAGAGAATCCGGAAGATTTTCGCCTAAGTATTTAGCTTGCTCGAAAGTGCAGGTACGCGTTCATAAATGCTGCGTTCAACGATTTTTTTCACCGCGAAGCATCTTAGTAGAGCACGCACACTACTAACCAACCTGGTCGTTCCTTTTAATTTTTCTCATGCCAATACTATGAAATTCTCTTCACATCCTCTAGTTTCAATAAATACCTCAGGAGCTCCAAGACGAAATAAAGGGCACAATGGGGTGGAGTATGTGAAACAGGAAAAATGTCGCTTAAGCGTACGACCCCACCAAGTAGAAGCGGTGATCGCATACCCATCTCTAACGTTTTGTGGAGGAATTTTGGTGTCCTTTCTTGGGGTGGAAGACTACCTGAGCAACAAGTTTGAAAGAAGAGACGGGATCACTTTTTATAACGCGCATGCGTTCATCAGCTACTTTCCTATATCAAGCATAGAAGCTCGGCCTCACCTTCTGCCCCACGGAGGTGGTCTAGTGGCTAAGGCACTCGGCTGCTGACCCGCAGGTTGTGGGATAGAGTCACTGCTGCGGCGGTTGCATTTGAAATGGAAGCGATAAAGCTGCAAACCCGTGTGCTCAGATTTGGTTACACGGTAAAGAACTCCATGTGGTCAAAATTTCCGAAATTCTCACTACGACGTCGCCCATACTTATATGCTCGTTTTAGGACGTTAAACATCACATATCATCATTGGCCTCACCCTATGAAATCAGTGCAATTTCACAACAGTGTTGGCAGAATGTGACGTGCTTCGTGGTACGTTCAAATATTCACGCAGAGTTTTCCAATTCTGACAACTCCACCTTGTTTTCTTTCCTTTTATATGCGTTGTTGCTATTGCAAGCGTTCTTCTCCCCCTCTTCTCCACAAGTGTTGCTGCTATTGCCTATCAATGCAATAGTGTTAAAGCGCTCGTCGAGCGGTGATTCCGACGTAAGCGTCGTTGCTTTTGTGCGAAAAATCTTAATTTTATGCCTGACAGAAAATGAAGAATGCAGAAATAAAATAACTAAGTCATAAAAGAACCTATAGCTCACTGGGGACCGATCAAAAATTATTGGGATTCATGTGGGGATCTAATCTGGGTCGTTTGCATGACCTGCTGATGTTCCATACGGCCATGCCTACCATACGCCCATGCCATTACTTGTAGGAACAGTAGAAAGAACTCCTTCTGTTAAGAAATGCAATGAAGGTAGCTTTCATGCTTCGCAAAAATAGGCGTCCTGTAAACATGCTTCTCAATTAAACATGAAATATTCCAGTAATACTGCATGGTACAAGCGTCCATCGCCAACGAGCGCTATAGGTGTGATTATCACAATGGCTCTGTTCTTGAAAGTCGGTACTCCACTACAAAAGGCACACACGCGACTGTGACTACTCCCTTCAAGCCATGTAGCGGGTGCATAGTGAATTCGAAAAGGTTTTTTTTATGCACTTGGTGTTTAAAGTATGCTATAGGAACCGGATATCGCTATCGCGTTCAACTCTTAAAGGCTAAGCTTGAGAGTCCCCTAATTTTTTGTAATCTTTTCTTTATTGTAAAACTGCGCAACGGCTATTCTGAAATATGAAATCAGAGAGAAGACCCGAGACGAAGGAGATACTACTGTCCACTTCGTTTCGTATCTTGTCCTCAAATTCGCATTTCGCAAAATCTGCATCGCATTTTTTAATATTGAGAAACCAACTCACCCAATACTTAACTTTCATTGCGTTTATTTTTTCCTTGTCGTTGTTCGCCAATTCTGGCTTCTTTTTTTGAATTACTGCCTCGAGAGAATATATATATATGTAGGTACTATACCCTCAGCTACGTTCCTGTTCCCGGTCACAGACCAGACCCGTTGAAAGCGTCGAGAAAAAAATGCCTTTTTCTTCTGTTTTTAATATATATTGCATTAACCGAGACAGAGACAGCACACGTTCCTCAGGCAAGCTGTTACATTTTCTCCTTCATCTTCCTCTCCTTTCCTTAGCTGCCTCACGCGCTCGAGCCCCAGCGTTTCTTGATCTTGACAATATATATATATATATATATATATATATATATATATATATATATATATATATATATATATATCGAACATCGAACGCGTTATTTGAAGTTATTTTTTCACCAACACTTCTTTCTTCTTATTTACATTACATTGGTTCTAATAACTTCCCCTATACATTATTTGGCAATATTGTCTGTTATATCTCATTATTATAGTGTCAAAACACGGAAAACGAACCCTTAGGTATAAAATACTTTTCCTTATGTATATATATATATATATATATATATATATAACAATTTTGACATGCAAACATGAAAAGGACTATTTACCAAGTTCAGCTTGTTGAGCACAGGAAGTTCTCCAGCTCTCGGAAACAGGGGGCTGTTGTGGTCAACAAATGGCCTGTACCACTGATAAGTGTGCAGGCCGTAGGTCTTTAGGTTTATAAAATCCACAGACCTGCGTAATAAATTGAGCGTAATTTATTTGCAGTCTGGCCTTTTGGCGGGTATTTGTTATTCAAAAACGCCGTTATTACCCTAAATTTATGGCGTATGGATTCTCTCACTAGCTATGAAATGGTAAAGAAAAAGGTCACCGAAGATTGCACAACAACCTCCGCAGAGAGACCTCCATTCACGCAGTGTTTCTCTTTCATATACAATATCAGTGTGCACCCTTGACGCATACTTCAGAAATGGACGACGGCGCACAATGGACGACGGCTGCACGACGGCGCACAACAGGCGCCTCGCGTGGCCGCCGCGGAACTACGCTGATAGCGACGCCGCCACTTGGAGGAACGGGTGACTGTACACTATAAAACCTATTTATGATGAGTGAACTTTGCCCTGAAAGCTGGGTGCAAAGACTAGGAGTCCGCTAAAGCGTCCCACATTCGTAGAGAACCTTCGATAAACCCGTGTGTTTTTACAGTGAAAGGTGTACAGGGCTAGGACGAACGAATCAATGAATTAATGAATAAATCATTTATTGCAGAAAATGTAGATCAAGAGAGGACTGGATGGGTCCCTATTCCGGGACTCCGTTGTATTATGCTGCAGATCACACCCGCTCCACGAGTCGCCACTGGTCCTCGAGAGCTGGGCCCGACAAAGCCTCCTCTCAGCCCTCCCACGTTGGCTGCGTAATTTGCCCGATGCTTCTATTAGACCGTCAAGCCCACACCCCTCGAAAGAGGCCAGCGTGGCTGTCACAGAATTTACACCATGCACTAAATTGTTCAGGGTCTATTTTCGCCCTTATGAGGGGCTGCTGTACATGTTTTGAAGCCTGTACACACAGGTCTCCTCAGATTTAGTAAGGCCCTTAGCGGGATGAGGCAAAGTTTGTCTTCGTAGGCGATATAGCTGCAGCATATCTGTCTACATTGTGGCCGGTATTTTTGGTTGAATTTCGTGGTCTAAAGGGCCGGTAGACAGAACACTGGGAAGGAATGCTCGGGTCGAGCTGTGTGCGAACTCGTTTCCGGCTACCCCCTGGTGACCTGGCACCCAGATGAGATGCTTTTTCGTGGCTCGCGTTTGTGCCTGCCATAGTATGGCATGAGCTTGAGGTGAAATACGGCCTATCATGTGGCTCCGGTAGGCTACCTTCGTATCTGTGACTATATATTCCGCAGTGGCGCACGTTAATAGCTGCTTGGTCTTCTCTACGATAGATCTCTACGATAGTTTTCTCTACGATAGATGGGTCAGAGCATCTTAGTGATAAGCCGTCAACTATCTTGCTTTGGTGAATGACTGCTATTGTAAAAATTCCTCCCACGGGTACGCAGCGTCCACGAAGTAGGCCCCTTGTGTGTTTCCGTAGCATTCGTTCAATGCTTTAGCTCGCGCTGCTGTTCTTCTGTGATGGTAATCTGGGTGCATATTCCGGGAACGAGGCTTAGTCAGAAAACAGCCCCACCAGTCATGGGGTATGTCTCGCCTGTTGGACGCTGTAGGGAAACAGAAATGTGGAGATCATCTAGGACATTCTTGCCTGTTTTGGTAGTGGCCAGCCGCATAATTTGTTTGTAAGCTGAGCCTAGATTCGCTCTTCGCGGTGTTGTGAATACCTGATTTCACAAGCTATGACGTGGATGTCTTCTGTGGCAAATTTAGCGCTTTCTTGTACAAGTTACAAATTAAAACATCAAATTTATGTACGTCAGAATTCCGTAAGTGAAGGTACGGAGTGCCATAAGTCATTCTGCACATTATGAAAGCCTGTATAACCGGTAGGAGATCATGTTTTTTCAAGCCTTTGTTCCATTGGCAATTCTAGAAAGCATGCACGTGATTTTCTTGCATGGGCTTGCAACTTATTCAGCATGGCTCCGTTAGCCCCGGGGTTACTAAATATGACTCCAAGAATCCTAATGCTGTCTTTTTCTGGAGTGGGTGTTTCATGTACCCGAACTTGAACTATGGCCTTGTCTTTCCTTCTCCAGAACACTAACAGTTCAGACTTTTCTGGTGTGCATTGGATACCGCAAGCTTCTGCTTGGTGTTTTACCTTATCAGCTGCCATTTGGAGAGCTTTTTCTATTTGTCGTAGATTCCCATGCGTTGTTCATATTGTAATGTCATCTCTGTGTAGCGCATGCCGAATATCATCATCATCATGATCATCAGCCTGGCTACGTCCACTGCAGGACAAAGGCCTCTCTCCTCTTCCGCCTGTTAACCCGGTCCTGTGCTTTCTGCTGCCAATTCATACCCGCAAACTTCTTAATCTCTACTGCCCACCTAATCTTCTGTCTCCTCCAAGCCCGCTTGCTTTCTCTTGTAATCCAGTTAGTTACCCTTAATGACCAGCGTTTATCCTGTCTACGTGCTACATGCCCCGCTCATGTCCATTTCCTCTTCTTGATTTCAACTATGATATTCTTAACCCCCGTTTGTTCCCTAATCCACTCTGCTCTCTTCTTGTCTCTTAGGATTACACCTACTATATGTCTTTCCATTGCTCGCTGCGTAGTCCTCAATTTGAGCTGAACCCTCTTTGTAAGTCTCAAGTTTCTGCTTCATAGCTTAGTACCGGCAAATGCAGCTGTTATATACCTTCCTCTTGAGGGATAGTGCCAATATATCAGTCATAATTTGAGAGTACTTGCAAAATGTGCTCCACCCCATTCTTATTCTTCCAGTTACTTAAGTCTCGTGTTTCCGCTCCACGGTTATTACCTGCCCTAAGTAGACATAGTCTTTTACAACTTGAAGTACACTATTACCTATCTCGAAGCGCTGCGCTTTTCCGAGGTTGTTGTACATTATTTTTGTTTTCTGCAGAATAATTTTAAGACCCACATTTCTGTTGACCTTGTCTAACTCCATAATCATGAGTTGTGATTCGTCCCCTGAGGTGCTCAGCAATGCAATATCGTCGGCGAAGCGCAGGTTACTAAGGTACTCTCTATTAACTCTTATCCCTAACTGTTCTCATTTTAGGCTTCTGAAAACCTCTTGTAAGCCTACGGTAAATGGCACTGGGAAGATTGTGTCCCCTTGTCTTACACCCTTCTTGATTGGTATTCTGTTGCTTTCTTTATGAAGCACTATGGTAGCAGTTGATCACCTGTAGATTTCTTTCAGAATGTTTAGATGTACTTCATCAACGCCTTGATTCCGCAGTGTCTGCATGACGGCTGATATTTCTGCTGAATCAAACGCCTTCTCGTAATCTATGAAGGGTATGTATGGTGGTTGGTTATACTCTGACCATTTCTCTATTACCTGATTGATAGTATGAGTGCAGTCGATTGTTGAGTAGCCTGTTCGAAATCCTGCTTGTTTCTATGGTTGACTGAATTCTAATTGTTTCTTTACTCCGTTAGCATTTACCTTTGTAAATGGCATGTATACTACAGAGAGCAAGCTAATCGGCCTGTCACTCTTCAAGTCCTTGTCATCTCCTTTCTTATGTATTAAGATGATGTTAGCGTTCTTCCAAGACTCTGGTACTCTTCCCGTCAGGAGACACCTCGTAAACAGGGTGGCTAATTTTCTAACGCAATCTGTCCTCCATCTTTCAGGAAATCTTATGTTACTCGATCCTGACTGGCTGTTTTGCCTCTTTGCGTGCTCTCCAAAGCTTTTCTGACTTCTTCTATCATTTCTGGTTGGGTGTCATCTGGGTTACTGCTAGTTCTTACAATATTAAGGTCGTGGTTGTCCCTGGTACAGTACAGATCTCTGTAAAACTCCTCCGCTATTTTAACTATCCTATTCATATTGGTAGTTATTTTGCCTTTTTTGTCCCTTAGGGCATACATTTGATTTTCGCCTATCCCAAGTTTCCCCTTCACTGCTTTGACGCTTCCTCCGTTTTTACAGAGAAATATACGATATGGTATTGTGCTTCCCGAGAAGCTGCAAGAGTGCTATGTTAAAAAGGAGTGGGGAGTAGACGACCCCTTGGTGTGCTCCTGGTGCTCATGCTGATTGGTGCGGACTTGATGTTTCCGAGTTTAATGATTGCTTGTCAGCCAGCTAAAAGTTTTTGATGTAGTTGAATGGTCGTCTTCCACAGCCCGTTTCTTGTAAATGTGATATTTGTGAATGCTTGAAATGGTCAAATGCCCCCTAAAGTCTCATGCAAGAATGGCTCTACCGTCGTACTTGCTGTTAGGATCGATAACTTCTTTCATGAGTTGCAGCAGAACATCTTGTGTTAACAAATATGCGCTGAACTCGGATGTGGTGTCGGGGATGAGTCCATGGTCCTCGAGGTGCATAGATAGCTTTTGGTTCACTTCTTTCTCCATGAGTTTCCCCACACATGACGTTAGGGACCTCGGGCGAATATTCTTGATATTAAATTATTTGCCTGATTTAGGAATGAACCTAACCTCCACCGTTGCTGCTTCGCCAGCACTTATGATATATTTTGTGAGGCCTTCAAGCATCATATCAATAAAAAGGGCAAGCATACTGACAGTATATTTGTCGCCACCGGGTGCCGTGCTTCGTCTCATGACACTAAGTGCGGCCTAGATTTCGTTGGTGTCGAAGTTGTGGTCTAATTGCTCATTTTCGACTCCAGTACATTTCTGTTCAGGTTAATTATCTTTTGTCGTACATGGATATCTGTCTTTAGGTACCTGAATAAGGTGCTAACTGGTGCCCGAGATTCCGGGACGAGCCCATTTCAGGCTTCGCTGTTGCTCCCTCTTAGTTTTGCTCGGTTCAGTGAGGCATCTCGGCAGGTTCCTTCATGCTGTCTCAGTATGTTGAGTTCCATTAAGGGAGTCGCAATTGGCAAGCCAGCTACCCCACGCCAGTTTCCATGCACACTCCTCTGCCTCCAGTGTGAGGCTGGCTATAATAAGATTGAGGCGCTTGTTTAATTTCTGGCGTTTCACTACTGCGTTCAGGCTCTTTGCGCGCCCCATAGATGAAACAAATGGTTATCAATTGCGGGAGTGTCTACATTATTTTGGAGATCACACGTGT